AAAATGTGCTTTAGGTAATATTTTATTGTTTCTGCGGCTCTACCGCGTAACTAAAACCGTGATCTGTCAAATTTATCTTGGTCATTATAGCTTTAATCAAACCCTTTAAATTAGCATTATTTTACCAGCAATCTTTATAATTTAGCAACGAGCCGACCAGCCCCCACTAGTAGAGGTCGAGAGTTTTAAGAGAGCCAATTAAATTGTTCAATATTGATGTGATGACCTAGTTTACGAGAACGAACTCTCATTTTATGTGCACAATTTTTCGCTCAGTATACAATTTTACAATTTATGTAAAATAAGGCACCAGAACTCAGTGGCGCCTAAAGCTCTACAAAAACTTAAAGAAGATTACCTAAACCCGTGCTGGTTTATTTACTTGAACAATATTTAAAAACTTATTACTACTTGTTACATTGAAAAATGGAACCCTTTAGTCGTAGAATAGAATTTGTTTGTCAATTGTTTTCACATTGTATTTGACAGCTCAGCGTTCAGCTTCAATCTTAAATAGGAGCTTACCAGGCAAGACGACTATTTATAGTTGGTTTGCAAAATTCCAATGCGGTCGTGTCAATCTGGTACTATGAGATCTTTCCCGAGTAATAAATTGGTCATAAAACCTTTAGATATTATGACGATATTATCATAAATAGGTATTGTTTCAGCATATGAATGCCCGTTATCACTAAACTTAGGAGTCGCCCAAAACTGTCTCTTGAATATTTAAGAATCGCCTAACTAGACTAGGAGCCTAACGACATTGAGCAATCTTTAAAGTTATAATATACGTTATGCGGCGCGGCGCTAGGCTACAGAACACAATACTGAAGCGCTAGGCATTTGCGTAATATGAGGTTACAAATGTGTCAAAGGATAAAAGAAAAAATGTTTATTTGAAATTACTTAGGCGAATCGTAAAATTAGGGGTTTCCTAGTTAAGCTATGCCTTATTCTAGGTTAGTGAAAACGGATTTAAAGCTATTTACATCTCGGAAAGAGTATTTTTGCTCTTCGATATCTGAGCGATAAGCCGTTTCCGCTAGAGGATAGAGGATAAAGAATAAAGAAAATTTAATAAGGAACTTAATGTTTTCTTTGCGTTTGGTCATTTCCGCGCTGAGGTGATGACAAGTTACGTGTTAATTTTAGAATCCTTCGCTTATATAAGCACACAGTTAAAAAGCATTTTTTCACTTTTATTTAACAAATAACTAACAACAGTCACAGTCTTAAGTGGTACTACTGAAACAAAAAACATCAAATAATACATCAAAGAATAAAATGATCGCCACTTTCAGAGTTATACAAACGTTTTATGAATAATTATACATACATAATCATAATTAAAACTTTTTTATGAGTTATTTTAGCTACTTAGGTTGGACATAGGCATGCATGAGTCAAATGCCTACAGTAAATCCTACACAAACATTTAGGTGTAAGAAAGCTGTGGTTTCGATGGATCCGCATCACTTTCAAGTGTCAGGTTGTTGCTTCCCAGACACTACAAAGGAGCTTGAAATTCGGTGTGGACAGGGGCGGCTTAACATACAGTGCAGGGTTTGCAATGCACATGGGCGCCGCCGTCTCAGGGGGTGCCGCAGCGCTTCCTGAGACAGCTAAAAGCATCGTCTTGGACCATCATGGTACAACAATAATATGACAAAAGCCAGGCCCGTCTTTACCCATGGTGCAGGGGGTGCAATGCACCCGGGCGCCGCGCGTTGGGGGGCGCCGCACTGATGATGGTCTAATATAAATATGCGTAAAAAGTGGGCTGGGGGGCGCCAGAGCGCTACTTGCAACCGGGCGCCTGTTGTGACGGGCTACTACTTGTTAAGACGGGCCTGTGGATGTGAAACATAGTAATTGGAACGAAACATGGATGTATCAGATGGACTGTAGCTGGATTTGAAAGCGGGCAGGTAGCAGAGGTCTCGAATAAAACACTTGGTTCGGAGAAACTCGGAGAACGTTCGAAGGCAGAACATGCTTTATTGCGCAAAATCGATTTCTTATACACAATTTGATTGATCGCACTTAGCTCATACACAAATCAGTTAATCTTATTAGATATCTTAGAGTGGGGGTACGCTACGCCGCACTGCGCGGGGAGGGGAAGGTTTCGTTGTTTCTCCGTTGGTGGCGCTGTTGTCGCGGCGTGGCTCGGTGTCCTTTACAGCTCTCCCCCCGGCGTAGCCTCGGCGCAGCACTCCTCCCTTCGTGCGGACGTCGGCGCTCCGTGTGTGGCCGTCGGGTCCCGGATAGGTTGCCACGATGACACCGCGTGGCCAGGTATTACGCGGCAGCGTTGAGTCGACGACGATGATCTCCCGGCTGCGGCTGCGGTTCCCCTGGTGCGGCTGTGGCTTGGCGTGGTACGAGTGTAGGTACGTATTCTCGCACCCATCTTCTCGAGCGGCGAGGCACTGGCCCGCTCGCCAGGTCCGTCCGGTCGGCTGGCTGGAAGGGCCCGGTGTGTGGCAAACCCGTCGACGATCCCAACAGGAAGTGATTGGGGTGATGGCCTCCGGATCCCTTGGATCGACGGAGACATGTGTGAGCGGCCGGCTGTTCACGCTGTGCTCGGCCTCGATCAGTAGGGTTTGCAGTAGCTCTTCTGCAGTTGCTTTTTCGTGCAGGAGCTCCCATGCGCCTCCCATGTTCGGCGCGCCGGGTGGTATGAAGCGCCATGTCATGCGGCGCTGCAGCCCCAGGTTCTCCAGCGCGGGCTTCTATTCTTCATAAGCGGTACGTAGCTCGGTGTCGGCACCGCGAAAGTTGGTGCCGTTGTCGCTGGCTCATCTCCTTCGGCCAACCTCGTCGCGCAGCCATGCGTCGCAACGCCATCAGCGCGGAGTCGGTTGATAATGACCCCACGAGCTCCAGGTGCACGGCGCGGGTAGTGAGGCACGTGAATAGCGCGCCCCATCTCTTCTCACGACGTCGTCCAATCTTCACGTGCATCGGCCTGACTCCGAAGTAGGTGAAAGGCCGGTGATATGGATCGACTCGCGCAGCGGGCATGTCGCCGAACACCGACGTCCTTGGTCGAGTTTTTCTTATTTGACACGTTGCGCAGTCACGTGCCACCTTGCGTACCGATAACCATAGGTGTAATATCTAGTATTGTTGGCGGAGGTCATTGACAACTTGTTCCCTCCCCCCGTGATTCGCCATCTTATGTTTCCTCATAATTAATAGGCGAGTGAGTGGGTGTCGGCCGTCTAATATAGCGGGTTCCTTTGTTTCGGCGGACACCTTAGCCGCGCGTATCCTTCTATTAAGGCGCAGCGTACCGTCTCTCAAAACGGGGTCTAATTTGAAAAGTTGACTCGACTTATTTACGGCCTTTCCATCGCGTAGGTTTCGTAGCTTCGCGCCGAAGCTATCTTGTTGTGATTTTCTTATCCACATTCGGTCGGCTTCCTCTAAGTGACGGACTTCGAGACGTGTAGCTCGTCTTCGACACCGGTCGACGAATAATAGGGCGTATGCGGTGGTCGTGATGAGCCGCTCGTATGACGAAAAGCGGCCGATGTCGGGAAGGCACGGTTCAGGCTCCTCTGTGGTGTAGCCGATGACTTCGACTTCCTTCTTGCTCTCTTCTTTCGCCCATGTGTGTCTCGGTTGGCGTAGGAAGGCTGGCCCAATGAACCATCTGACTTGCGCGGTCACCGTCTTCCGCTTGGTCCTCGATGCGTCGTCGACCACGTTCTGCTCGGTGGGGACCCCTCGCCAGTCCTTTGATCTGGTGCGTTCCGCTAACTCCCCCAGGCGGTGCGCTACGAACGGCGTGTAGCGACGTGCGTCGTTTCTTATCCAATGAAGGACTGTCTGACTATCGCTCCAGTAGGTAACGCTGTCCGGTTCCCACTCGTACTCGGTGATAACGGTGTCGGCGAGGCGTGCGCCGATGACCGCCGCCTGTAGCTCCAGTCTCGGTAATTTATAGAAAATCGCTTATTTTGACCGCGATATTTGATTTTTGAATTGATTTAGAAAACAACGTCAATCATGACATAAATTATTATTAGATGACAGTTTCTTTCATGTAATCTAAATTACCAGTAATTTAGATTGTTAGGTTTAGGAGCATAGATCGATATTTTTGGTAGATCGATCTTTTACGTCGTAGATTTTTTCCCGAATCGATGTTAAAGGCTCTGCTTCGGATCGATTGACAAGATCGGTTCTTTTGCCTTAGATCCGAAACCCTGTTTCATACATTCAACATAATTATAGAGACATTTGCATGTGGTATTATGACAATACAGGATAATAAAAGTAACAACAAATAAATATGTTTCCACCCTTATGTTATGTTAAACTGTATGTGACAAAAGTGCCTGTGCCCTTGATAAATACAATGAAAAAAAAACATATGCCATTGTCAAACTCACTAACGTTATCAACTAGGCATGTCGATTCACTAGAAAAAAAATCGATCTCTGAATCGATTCTAATCATGCACCCTAGAATCGATTCTCGATAAAATCGAGTTTAAAAAATGATTATCGATTAATCACGAATTTTTCAATCAAACATGCCTTATATAAACACAGAGCATTATTGAAGATAATTTATCGTCAATACAAGTAATGCAGGAATTGTAGGAGATCAATCAGGCAGTTTGTTATATATAATAGATGGGTGATATATGAGTTATTCCACGAGCTGGAGTAACAGTGACAGTAGTCACAACTAAACTATACTGACATTCGAATGCGTTCATAAATATTTACTTTATGCGTTCAAATTATCAATACGTCCGACAACAGCAAAATATTAAAAAACTAAAAATAACGTAGCTAATTTAGGAATTTTATATTGCTAGTTCTTGACTTAAATTGAATCGGTCCGATTCGAGGGGTTCATGCATTGATTCAAGAATCGATGTACATTCCAAATCGATCTGAATAATCGATAATTTTACTCTATATAATCGATTTTTCAATTAATCGATCTCATATCGACATGCCTATTGTCAACGTTGTGGTGTTGTGAACACTGAGCGAGGTTATTGTTTTGATATTTTAGTTTTTCTACTAAAGCAGGTATATAATTAACACCCACTCACTCCAAACATTTGTCAAATAAAACAGTCTGTTAAAATTGTTATAGATCATTAATAACTATATAGACTATGATGGCAGATGAAACAAAGCCAGTCAATGAAAACGATCTAAAAGAGTTAAAAGATAGAATGAATTTAATTGTTAGTGCTGATCCAGCTCAATACCACAATGATTTTTCATTGAGAAGATACCTCAGAGCATTTAAAACTGTTGACCAAGCATTTCAGGTAAATATCCTAACATAACTCTATTGCTTTTATCTGTATTGATTTTGTTAGATATCTGATAATATACTATCATTTCAAAGTCTCAATAACAGATCGCTAAATTATCTTAGTGAGATTCCATGACAAACTTAATTTAAATGTTACCTACTGCTGTGAGATATTATTTTTTTAAATCTGTTTTATAATATGCTTATTGTCTTTCAGGCTATAATAAAAACCAATAAATGGCGAATAGAGTATGGTGTTGCTGAGTTACAAAATGACAAGGAACTCATAACAAAGTATGCTAACAAAGCTAGGGTCCTGAGGCACCGTGATATAGTTGGCAGACCTATTGTATATATACCTGCTAAGAATCATAGCTCCAATGACAGAAACATTGATGAACTGACCAAATTTATTGTTTACTGCCTGGTAATTTATCTCATTTTATATTTAAAGACTTTTTATTGTATGAAAATTATTCTTCTTTTTTACCTTCCAATAAGATAATAAATATTTATTATTATAGTGAAATGCTGGGGCTTATTTAATTAAATCTAAAAAAATCCCTATAAAGATAGTATAATACAGACCATATATATTTAAGCATTTTACAACTTTTATTGATCATCTTACAGTACTTGTCATTAATACTATGACTGTATGTGTTGCACCTTGTAAGAGGATACAACTTTTCACAATTCTTATTTTTTATTACCTTAAAATTTTGTTTTGATATAAATTATTGATCCAGGCTTAACAATATGATTGATATATAGTCATGATTTATATGTATACAAATATTTTATTCTATAAAATTAACTACTTATTTAAACTATAGCAATGATATTTTCAAAATATTTGATAATATCATTGCTAGCTATTAAGCTCAATTAATATATAAATTTAAACAACATTGATTTCCTACATATTAATACCAATATAATGTAAAAAGAAAAAATAAATTCAGATATATGCATATTTTTAATATACATGAACTTTTTTTAATTATAAAAAATAATAATTTTGAATCTAGTTTTGATCTATTTACCAAACTAATGAAAAGATGAATATTATGAAATTGATATATTCTTTTACAGGAAGATGCCAGCAAAAAATGTTTTGAAGAAGTAATAGATAATCTTTGCATTGTATTTGATTTAAACAGCTTCACCCTTTCTTGTATGGACTACCAAGTTTTGAAGAACCTCATATGGTTGTTGAGCAGACACTATCCTGAAAGACTTGGTGTTTGTCTTATCATCAATGCCCCAGCATTTTTTTCAGGTTGTTGGGCTGTTATAAAGGGCTGGTAAGTTATGTATCCTAATTATAATGGAGTAAACTACCTTGCTAAATAATTGAATTGAAAATTATGCAACATTATGCATGACATAAGCATGTAGTATTTGACTGAAACAGGTTTTATAGAAATTCAAAATTTGTTCTTGCTCTCAGCTTAAGCCAAACAGATATAATCATACCTATGCTAAATATATAAAACAAATTCATACTCACATAGAGCATTAAGTCACCGGAGCTCGATACAATTACTGCTAACCGTCCAGTGTTAGAAAGCTGCTTGCTAGACAACGCAGGGTTAATATAACCACCCCTTTACTAAATTTTATACTTACGCAGAAGGTAGACTAGATAAAACTGTAGCTTTGACTCTGAAGTTCTCTGACGTATTTTCAATTCACAACCTAGATTTCTTGACTGAAACCAAACTTTCGGTCAGTCAGTTGGTCATCTCCCTCTTTGTTATGTTCACAGTTTTAGCCTCAACTTACCCACTGTTTGGTTCTTTCATGTCTAAGAACATTATGTATATAAAAATTAGCTCAATAAATAAGGACGCCAATATTTACTGTATGCCAAAAACAGTTATAGCAAAGGGTCAGAATCCAAAATACGGTTATGCCGAAGTATATAGGGATGCAAATATTGTGCTAAAAAAAGGAGTTCTGATTCGACACATGAAAATGTTCACTAAATACAATTATTTGTCTTTAGCTATATCATAGTCACAGTATGCTGCAGAAAGTTGTATAAAAAATATTATGAATTTAGTTTTGCTATAAAAAAAATGACCAGCACGATTTGCGCAACCTCTCTTGGTGTATAAAAAACTACATTTATAGTGTTTATATCTTATTATCACGCAAAATAAACACTGGGTGTTGAGTTTCAGAAAAAAAACACTAACATAATATGTATAAAGTGGACTTTTCTGAAATTTGAAAACTGTATATTATACAGTTTGGAAATTAATATATTAACTATCCATATCATTATTATTTTCAGGCTTGATGAAAATACTGCAGGAAAGGTAACATTTGTTAATTCAGAGATGGATCTCTGCCAGTACCTGATACCAGATATTTTGCCAACTGATATGTAGACAGAGAAAAGATAATATTGATAGAGTATCTTATATGTATTGTTTTCAAATATGACATAATTGTGAATATGTATTTATATTTACTTGTTATCATAAGATAAAGTTTAAGCCAGTAAGAATTAATACAATAAGTATTTGTTCCTTTTTAATAGATTTTATACAAATCGCAATCAAACTAATATTTAAAAAGAAGTCAAATAAACTTTTATTTTTACACTCATTCATATTACTTAAACTAATATAGTTAAATTAAGAGTCAATTGGCATATGTTGTTGTTTTTATGATGATAGTGATCTTATTTAAGTAAATAAATGAATATTACAATATTTAAGTTATTACTCTGCTTTTATAATACATATAGTTAAAATTTTAGTACAAAATAGTTGTAATTTTCATTTACATAACATTTTTCATTTACATTTAATAAAAATACATTTCTGTTCACAATGTCCCGCTCAATAATCGTATATTTTAATGCCGCCTTTAAATACATAAGGTATGTTACAACTGGGATAATGTACATCAAATTTTACTTTTCCTCCGAAAATTGCCCTTCTGTCTCATCCTGGGAACCTGGGGGTTAATTGCCAAAAGTAGTAGTGAAATTTCCATCGACCGTCCAGCGATAGTCCCAGGTACTTCCATCCATGATCACCGTCTGCATAACAAATTATATCCATTCTTGACAGAAGCTCCTCTACTAATGAGTATAATGAGGACCTTGGAGTAACCGGTCGGGTCAAGGTTCCATAGAAGACCGCCACCATTCTCTCATCTCTGCGTATCGCGCTTTTTCCGGAACCCAAATTGACTCGTCGGTAGGTTTGAACCTTTACTTGCGTTAATTTTCCCGCTGTAATTGGGAGGAACACTTCGTCTGTTGGCTGCGAGGTTTCCGCCCTAGTCCTCTCTAATAGCTCCAGTGTAAGGGAGGGGGCGCTTGATGTTTGACCCTGTTCCGGACTATTCTAAATGGCCGATCCACTGATATCACGGTTACGTAGTCTTACTGCATGGACTATAATTTACGTGCAAGTGCTAAAAATTTTAATAATCACCTATAATAAAGCCCTATATAACAGTTCGAAAGTTCGGTTCCAGTATGAATTTCGGACAAATCTCGTACGTTTTTATTCCCACCGCACCGCTCCAACTTTGTTCGGTATTAACAGATTAATATCCAACCAGCCATTTAATTGCGTTATCCATCTAACGCAATGTTCTGACTCAATTTATACAGATTCTCAATCCTCATTATACAATATTTTCCTCGCTTCTTGTAAACAAAAATTATTTAATTAAGCTTAAATAAATAAAATCATAAGTCAAGCTATTTATAAAGTAATTTTAACCATACTTAATTATAATCATATATGTTAGAATATGACTTAAGACAAGTGAGATTATTAAAAGTGTATTCTGGCCGTTATAAAAGCAACATAATATGTTTTTCTTTGTTTGTCCAGTCAATGGCACATCAGGTTATACAAAACTCACATTTTCTTCAAAATATTATAGCACATTTTCAGAGTTTAAAATAAATAGCGGATATTTTACATTTTTGATAACCTGTTGAGCTGCTGTGTGTTCCCAATCAACTAAATTGTCATTAGCAATATTTTATACAATGTAATATCACATACAAGATGTAATCAAAACGTTTTTGTTTATTTGCCAATGTTATAAGTTCGGAAATGTTATTGTATAATTTTACTGTTAAGCGTTATAGTCATGTATATAATACGCGAAACATTAAAATAGATTCTCAGTATAAAAACTACGAGTACAATAAATTGTCCCGTATGAAACTAAGTCATATAATAATTGTGTATTTCATTTGCATTCTTGGATGCCAAATTAATGACGTGTTATATTGTTATTGTGGTTATTTAATGTGTGTTGTAACCATATTTATAGTAAATTAAATTGCCATAATTTTACTGTTCTTGTACCTTATAAATGCTTTAATGTTATTTTTAGTTAAAAATCATAGCGGGCAACTTGTCGTTCCATTTATTTTTACGCATTATTATTTCATACTAAAAAGGTCTTTTATTTATTTTTTTACATGATTCCCAAAAGTGCTGTGTTTAGAGTTAATATATCTATGTATGTAAGACTCCCTATTTCACCATAGTTTTTGAATGTCTATAACAGGGGTTCCCAATCCCAAACTAATTTTGTCTGCTGCCCACTTTGAGAATAAATAATTTGTAGCGCCCCCATTTTTCCACCTACTTGAAAACCACTATAACTTCAAATTAAATTAATTTATTTTTGTAATATAGGTATATTAACGCAGATGAAACATTAATTTTAAACAAGACTTACTATAACTCGCAAGTGTTAACTTGAAACCTGAGCGCGAAGGTAATACACAACGGCGCTCAGGTAGTCACGTAACCGCAAATGAAAATAATAAAAAAATACGTTGTTTATATAGGATTGCATAAGCAACACGCACCGACAGTAATAAAACAAATATGCATAAACTCGTTTATCTCACTCGACGCTTAATCGTTTACTCAAAAAGTACCCAACTAGCAAAAAGATCGTATAAACAATCACTCTTATGACTTAAGATCGAAAATCAATCTTATGATAGATCCCATTATTCCAAATAGTTGTATAAAAGCAGCTCTCATGATTTTTTAGCATTGCGCACCTTTTAGCTCTATAAAAATGTCGACTAAACGTGGACTCGACGAGTTCATATCGCATTTACTCGATATTTGTATAAAAGTATATCATGATCGCCTTCATTCAACCATTAGCCTAATGATAACTCTTTAAAAGCTACTGAATTGCTAATATGTCATCAAACAAGCTTTTATAGAACTATCTTTCCACATTTGATTATTGCAACATTATTGTAGAGTAAAAGCTGTTTATTAGACAAAACAGCATTTCATTTACTATATCAGGACTTAAGGTCATATGATTGCTTGTTACTCAGCTTTCATTCTGCTTAACTATTGATGTTGAGTAAAAGCTTTCAAATTATCCCTCATAGCTTTAATGGTTCTCTAAACACTGTTTGAAAGTCATTATTCAGCGTAATAGTGGTATAAAAATCAAACAAAATCTTTAATAGCACTGTTTTTTTGGATCTCCATACAAAACAATAATATCTGTTTGTTCTTGGGAAAATGGACTATTAAAGATGGAAAAAATTAAGAGAAGTGGATGTTTTAGACGAAAATTAAGCAAGATATATGCACAATTGAAACAATCAACACTTACATTGACTGTAACCACGGGTGAAGTACAATCAAGTAATATTAGTATGGGTTCCGTAGAAAAAAATAATGTCACGATTGATGATGAAATTGGTAAAACGTCAACTAGTGAAGTATTTCCTCGTTCTAAAATGACAGTTCGGAGTTCGGAGACGATGAACATATAAATGATGAGTTTTGGGCAAATATTAAAGAATGGGCACTCCCAATTCAATATACCGCATGATGCCTTACGAAAATTTTCAACAATATGTAATAAAAGAATTCCATATTTGCTGTCAAGAGATTCTCGTACTATTTGGAAAACGAATATATCAAAGATTAAAATATTTGCTGTTGGCTCTGGATTATACTGGCATAACGGATTAAAAGAACCTTTACTAAAATGTTTTGAATTAATTGATTTCAATTTTGTTATACGACAAGCATAAAATTTCTGCCTCATTGAAAAATGTGTTTCCTTCCAAGGCCATTTTGATTTTTATTACGTTGTTTAAGATCATCCTTTGTTATAAATTTATCTACATCCAAATAGACCACCATTCTATTATCACCTACAAAAAAAGAACTACTTAATTAACAAAAAGGGACTCTCCTACAAAAAAAGACTTCTTAATTAACGAATTGTAATTATAAGATTGTACACATGAACTTACAAAATATCTACTTAGTATTTAGTATCAATATTACACCTTTTGTTTAAAAAAGTCACTGATATATTTCAGTTATTTATCACTAACAATCACATCACACTACTCTTGTTCTAATAACAATGATTAACATTTTGCACCAAGGAACCCTAATCTAACTGCAAATGGCGTTTCTAAAAGTCATCAAATAGAAATCTCATTTCTATTTCTTGACTAAAAGTTGAGTAAACGCTGTGAGAAGGTAAATTAGAAGCTAGTAATGGCGTATCAATTCCCCTATTCAATTTATATTATTTGTTACTTATTAATTACTAAATAATCTCGTGGCCCATGAAAATAGTATTCAAAATGTAATATATTACACGAAAAATTTAATTCCCCATATGAAAGTAGGACCTATAAACTAACTTTCACATATTACAAATACTTCATGTCATGTGGCTGTAAAATGTAATATGGCAAAATATTTACTTTGAAAAATAATTATTTCTTTTCTTGTAGACACACTGCGTCAACTTTATTTTAAGACAGTAAAAACGGCTTTATGAGTGCTGCTTGGTTGCTTTCACACGATCAAAGAGTCGAGTGATTGCAATCCCACCACTTTATTACGATAAATAGGTCGACTAAAAGAGTTCAAACCGACTTAGTAAAAGCTTAATGTGTGATATAATGGCGTAATGACTTCTAATATAGGACTTTTAATATTCAGATTGCTTTTACTCTATATTCTTTCGAGTATTTGGCTATTCAGCTGATTATCTTACGATATTTACAGCATTTATAGCCGAGAGAAGTGCGCCCAAATCGCGTCGAGTAAACGTGCACAGATCATTTATACGACATATTAAAGATCCTTCACTCCACCAACAGCTGAAATAGAAACGTGCTGCTGGCTTTTTTACGATAACATTTGCTAGTTGGGTAAGAACAAGAATTCTATAAAACAGCCGATTGATACAGAAATGCACAATTCGGGTTATTTAACATACATTTGTTAAGACATGTAATTATTTTTGGTGATTCAATTTAAAATTTAGATACCTAAAATAAAAAATAACATACATGTATGTATTAACACATCCCTAGTAGCATTTTTGGTACGGCAATTCGTTGGGCCTTTGTTTGCTGTTCGGTTGGTCAACTGTGGGTAATGGCACTCCTGATTGCACTGCTGCCCACAAAGCTAAAGTACCGTGGCCCACCGTTACAATTGGAGAAAGGGCCAACTGAAGCTTTTCCTTCGTTGGTCCTAGTCACCTTTTACAACGTAAAGCCAACTGCGAATTTTCCCACAATTTTCTCACATAGGGCCAACAAACATTCTATAACGTTGGGCTGACCGTTCATGGTAGGGCAACTGTGGTATGTAATTGTAGGCCTAACTTAACTTTTACTATATAAGGCCAACTGCAGTGCTCCTCATAAAGGGCCAAGGACACAGGGCCAACTAAGATTTACTCATAATAGGGCCAACATATTTTGCAAAGTAAGGCCTACATACACCATCTTTGTAGGGCTTACAAACTGACTGCACAGTATATCATCGAATTCATGAAAACATGAATATCAGCACTATTAAAAAGTATCAAATGGCCAACCAAAATATCGTAATAAAACATTTAATTAAAAAATGTATTTATCAA